TGTTTTATTTTCAATGAAATCTTTTAGAAATGCCTTTTAATCTATAATATTAGGTTTAAAAAAAAATTTAAGTGTATATATAATTTTATTGTTTTTATAAATCTTACATATTAATATTAATTGATATAATAGTCTATGCCATTTCATGTTAATTATATATGTGGTATTGTTATAATTTTTATTTTGTTTTTATATAAGTTTTTATTAATCGTATACTAATAATTAGTAATAATAGTGTTTAGTGGAAATTAATTGACTTAATTTAAAAGATAAATAATTTTAATTTTAATAATAATTTTAAGGGTATTATTGACTATAAGCAAAAAAATATAAGGGTCAAGTGAAAAAGTAAAGACACGAGAATAAATGAGGGTATATTGGACTTAAAGCTAAATATATAATGGTACAATTGGTAATCAAAAGTTTCTCCTTAATCCGCACTTTTAATATATTGTAGATTAGTGTTAAAGGTAATTAACATAAAATGTTCATACCTTTCAATGTTATGTGCAAAATGTCCATATATTTCATTTTTTGATATTTTTACCTTATCTTTCACCTTTCATTGCGCAGAATGTTCTTTTCATCCATTTTTCAATAAAATGACGATTTTACCCTCCTATTCAAATAAAACAAAAGGAAAAGAAAAAAACTAATTGTAATGATAATCCTAAATTTTTCAAAACATTACAAATAAGTGTTAAATTCTCCACTACCACCACTTTCACAATCCTACCAAGCCGCCACCTATAGATCAACATAGCACACCTTCCGGCCACAACACCCGTTGGATTCCACCACTACCAGCCTTGCCTCACTCTTCTCAACATCTTCCTCTACAGTATTGGTCACCAATCTATTCGAAACCACCACATTTACAGCCCAAAATACCAAACTGCTGTATACAACTCTTCATGGCAATCACACTTTCGACGCCACCCATGGTTGCGCACCACCACCGATGGTTACCCCTCACCTCGACGAACCTATACATGACCTCATATAAATGAAAGTTGCCTCAAATCATTTTGTTGTAATTCTAGAACATTCGACAGTGGCGACGTCTATTTTGCCAAACTCTTCTCATTCAATTCATGCATCCCACAACACTAAATCTTCAAATTGGCATCAATTGAACCATCAACAAACCCAAACGATAATGTGTATGAATCTAATTAAACAAATTATTCTCTCAACCGTTTCAATTTTTTGGTCTAAAACTCTCTATGGGTGCGATGCACGGGGAGAGTTGTCTGACCAAAATTGGTGGGTCATAAATGCTCTAATCTTTCAAATTCGTGTGTGGGAGGATGGTGAGGAAGTGAGGCAAGGTTGACGATGGCGGAGTCTAGTTGGCATGGTGGCCGAAAGGTAGTTCTATTTGGATCTATATGTAACAGTTTGGTAGGTTGTGAAAGTGGTGGTGGTAGAGAATTTATAATTTCTTTATAATTTTTTTAAAAACTTAAGAACTATGGTTACAGTTGATAGTTCATCTTTTCTTTCCGTTATATTTGAATAAGAGGATAAAATCGTCATTTTATTGAAAAAATGGATGAAAATGACCATTTACGCAATGAAAGGTGAAATGTAGGGGTTAAAATGTCAAAAAATGAAATGTATGAACTTTTTGCACAATAACATTAAAAGATAGGGACCTTTTGTGCTAATTACCCTAGTGTTAATTTACTTGGCTGAAATAAATAATAATTGTTATTGAACTCAAATTACATGGGAAATTGATTTTTAATTATAACTTTCATCACAATTTTTTCACAGATTTATTTATTATTATTTTTTTAACACCTAGGTGAAACATCATGTGATATGAATAAAATTGTTAATTATTTGGATATTTATAATAGTCACGAACGTGATGCCTACCTTGGTTGCAATTAATGAAATAACGTGACATTTTTTAAACTATTTATAAAGTAGAACAACTCCGAATCATTTGTAAGGCCAATTAATGATCACGAGATTGGGG